AATAAATATAGGCCTAATTCGTAAATCTACAAACTGTTACAACACTATATAATTCAATTAACTGGAGACAAACACCGTGAATTCTACGTGCGAAATTCTGTAGTTTTAAAATATAGGGCTAAGTGCTTTCTAGCGGCCATCTTTTAGTCGGATTTGCCAAGATGTAATTCAAACATGGAATAATTATCAAAAAGTACAAAAAACATTTCAGAACTTTAGTGCACAGAGCATTTTTGCATTTAAACAAACTACAAAAATAGGGCGATGATAAATTCGCCCATGTTGTAGTTCGCACTGAATGCATCCGCTCGAACTGGCATCCGCTCGAACTGACATCAACTCGAATTGACTGGCATCCAAATATAGTGATTTTTGGCACAGGAAAGGTAAATGTTGAATAATCTTTTGAGAACATTTTCCCTCCCGCCCCTCATCAATTTTTTTTTAAAGAATGATAATCTATAGAGTAGTAATAATTATTTCTATGTGCCCTATGTTCTCATTTTAAACATGATTGATATTTACTCTTTTCAACAAAAGATACCAAAATGTGCTAGCCTACTATACTAACCTAACCTAATTCAGCCTGTGTGAGGCTGCTCTTGTTTCTACTGTTAGTTATACCAAAGTATATACTGGGCTCTAAGTAAGACTAGCTAGGCTGGGTGCTCATTCCTCGCCTAACCTAACCTGGCAGTATGCCACAGGCAACCGGCATCCCAACCTACTTGGCCTAGGTCCTACTAACTACTACACGGTAGGCCTAGGACCTAGCTAGGCTGGTAGGCCTAGGCTTGGATAACTACCTACTACTACGTAACCTACCAGTACTTGCCGGAACGGTTCCGACACTGCGTAGCGAACAAACAGCAGTTAATGAATTAGTTCGGAATTTAAGTATATTATTGATTGGAACATAATTAGACCTAACACTGCTAATAAATCGTCCGAAAAACATGGTGAAATGTAATCCGCCGTCATGTATGTACCAAAAGAAAACCTGACCTTCCTCGGTGTCACTAAAATTTATATATTTTAAATTCAATTAACCATAATTTTATAAATTTAAAATATACAATCCAGCAAAAGAAATATTTTTAAATGAGAATTATTATTTATAAGTTGATAAATTAGGAATATTAAGTTAATTAATTTTTAACTGTAAGGTAAAAATATTCTTATTTGCAAAATTACAGGGACGACGACAATCAAGCACCCAGCCAGGTATTTAAAATCGTCACGAGAGTGCATGAGAGTGTTGTGGTTGTGTGTGGTTGTGGTTTTTGGATGTTGTGTGTGTGTGGAGTTTGTTTTGAGTGCCTCGAAGATCATCAACAACGTAGCAGCTAGGAGGCTAGTAAAAAGTTGTTTTTGTTGTTTCGAAGCACAATTGACAGCTGACCACAGATCCCCAGCGTCTATAGAAAGTGATAATCTGACAAGTTTGTTGCCTCACGGAGTAGTTTTTGATACTGTAACCAGGAAAAACATCAACATGATCTACGTACGATGATGTGTCTATTACTACTACATACAGTCCTAACTAACATGACAAGCAAGGATGGATTTCTTCGGCTTTGACCTGTGGTAAGGTTTTAATAAATGTCAGATGTATTTTTGCTTTTAATTTTTAGAAAAGAGGTAAAGAATTATGAACTAGGATCAATTGGCTTGTACTTGTTTGTAATACTTTTTGCATGCATATTATTAAAATGCTGGAAAATGGAACAAATGTGCCAATTCGTTTAATGAAAAGTTGCAGAGAGCTATTATTTTAGCCTATGAACTGAGCAAAATGTATATTTTTAAAATTTTCACATGGAAAATGGAGACCCAGAGTCTGTGACATCATTAAGCTCCAAACTTCTGTAATTTTTTTTCTTATACAGTAACATGTTTCTTGAAAGTTGTTAAGCAATTTCAATTTGGTATTTTTTTTTCCCTCATTTTTTGGCTGACAGTGATAGAATATGTTTGAATTATTTGGACTTGACTTAAATTTCAGTATAGTAATAAGATTAAGAAGACTGCAATAAATATATTTCATCTTGTACTATAACACAATAACATCAAACAATAACAAAAAAGACAGGATTTTCAGCAAACTGAATCAAATTTTAAAAAGGTTCGCCACATTTAAAAACAACATAAAATTTTAAAATTGGTTTCTTGTGATAATGTAGCTGTATTTGAATAATACAATTTGATGGATTTCTACTAACAGGATGATTGAGAGAGACTATTTTCTGTGCCCTCATAATAAAAATGGTAATTACACTGTTTTGTGCATCTGTTCTTATCTAGTACTGTATCATAGGCCTATCTAAAGACTTTGGATTTTTAAAGATAATCAACGTTCATCAGCGCAAAAGTGCTCAAGTCCTGCCGGCTCAAATTATGTAGATGAGTCTGCTTTTTTGGCATTGTTTAATTTATAGGAAGAGCCTAGACTGGGTTCCAGTCCCTAATCTTTGTCTTAATCAGTTGAAATGCTTAAGAATAAATCGATTTATTTTGGCACAAATGGCGTTCTATGTTACTTATTTGCATGGCGTTTCATAGTATACTTTTTCTGGCAAAAAAGTTTCTCTACATAAACTGACGCTGGTGGCGCTTTCCAAAATGCGCTAATGTACTACGAAAAATCCATAAATTAGAGACTTGTGGCAAGTCTAAGGAAGAGCCCAACATAGTTGTAAATAAAGGACACTGAGTAAGATGTTTTCTTGTCATGCTGTGTTTTGGCAATAATTATTTTGCTTAAAGGAGAATGATCCATTTTGATTGGAATGGTGTAGAATACATCACAATAAACATAAAGCTAGAGAAATCTGATCTGGTTGCACAGTGATTATTGGAACCCCTAATAGGCCCCCAGACCCCTGGACAAAGTAAACTGTATCCCAGGACAACAGCACATTGCACCGTATGCCCAATAGGATAGTCAACAGCCATAATTACCCCATGGCTGAACTTTGTAGTTCCTAAAGATGATAAGAGCATCAGCTGGATTTATTTTGTATGCTCATGGTGCCCTTCAACAAAGAGATCAAGAAGTATCTTTGTATGGAGCTAGTGCTTCGTAGTTTTATTTTAATTTTTTCGAAAAGTCGTCATTATAATCTAAATCGTATTCTAGGTTTTGAGGAATTTTCATCAGTGTTGAATTTACAAAAAATTGGACACTGTGATTCAGAATATGTTAAGCAGCTGTTCATGTATAGTAATTATAATTTTGTCATTTAATTTGCACTGATCTTTTTTCACTACTGTTCTCAGCATCAATGGTGTATCTAAGTGGGGGTGTATTCCACACCCCCCTCCCCCCGCCAGAAAAAAATAAATATGTATTTCTAGTCTTCCCAAATATTCTTTCTTTCTTGTGACCATTTATCTGAATAAAATCACTACGATAATTTAAAAAAAATGACATATAGTACTTTTTAAGCGTCACATTCCCTTACCGGTTTTTCAACCTGCTTCTGATTTTGTTTTTTATTTTTTTGCAAAAAAACTGTATTTAAAAAAAGATTTATTTTAAAAATGGCAGACTTAAACAGTAAACAAAACAAATTGAGTTACTACAGTAATATGCAAACCAATTGAGTACTAACATCCTCACTGCTGTTCCTGTTCTTGTTCGTGTTACCAGATCTTAAAAGCGTCCAGTGTCGCAACTTTTGAACGATGTACAGGAAATTTTGTACACATAAACTAGAGGTGATTTCCAACAAATGTTCATCGCCCTTTTTTTAAGTTGGCCCCAGGGTTCCCCTACACCTACACAACAAAACAGGGGTTTCAGCAAGGACTGTACTTTACTGCCATTACCACTAATAGGGCATGTTGCATGGATGGCTCGGTCGGTTTTTAAGGATGTGTTCTAAATAACTAAGGTTGTGAGTTCGAATCGCGTCTTGGTATTCAATTGTTTTTTTTTTTCCAATTTTAGGAAATTTTTTTTTTTTTTCAATTAAGATATTTTAATTTTTTTTTGGTTTTTCCACAAATAAACATTTTAATTATTTAACAATGTCTGTCTTGTAGCTCTTCCAAAAAAAACCCCAATATAATATCTTGCGCCTGTACGTATTTAAGCGTGAAGGAACGCACAGAACACGGTCGCTCTTGTTTTATATTAAAAGAAGAGCAGAGAGGGTTATAGAACAAGCTGTTGCATGAATTACATTTTTATTGATTGTAGATTGTTGTTAAACTGAAACATGTTACAGTATTGATTGAAGGGTGTTTTTTAATATTTTTAGTATAGAAAAAAATCCCTGTAATGTTTAGAATTTAATGGATTTTCCCCTCAAGGATGAAGCACCGGAAATAAAATATTGTGTAAATTTTCATTGATGAAGTAGAACTTATTATTTAAAACTTGAAAAGTAGTCTTTCAAAACATCATGGGCTTGGACAAATTTTTTTAACAAAAATTAAAAGTCAACTAAAAATTTTCAAGAACTTGGATTATATTAGTTCTTGTGTGATATTATTTTTGTCTTAATGTATGTCTCTTGTTAGTATGTTTCATAATATGTTGATAATTTTATAAAAATATATATTTGTTTACATCATTTAATATTGTGAGAAAAATATGTGGTATTGTTATTAAATGAAATGGTGTTTCAGGTGTCTTATTGTGTCTCCTATAAAGGTAGCAATATCAGATTTATATTTTTATACTGTAAGCTGTGATATTACATCGAAGACTGAAGGAGTAGCTGGACTTTTATACTCTTGAAAATACAATATTAAGACTACAGTCCAGTGATATGTATTTCTGACTCTCTAGATAGGCCTAATGTTTTTTGGTTGTTTTTTCATATTATTTGTAGGGAAGTCTTATCTCAAAATGTCTCACTGCTATTTAATCTTTCTTTTGTGATATTTAAAATTGTTTTATTTTCTGTTAAAAAGTCGTTCTCAGAAATCAATTGAATATATAAATATTCATGACATATTTTCTGATTTAAGTGACATTTTTTCTTTCGGAAAAAATATGATTTTGTATTTAATAGTAAATGAGCATGTAAAGTTTGTTATATAGTATTATTTTTCTCTCTCTTGCATCCATGAACATAATGAATTCATTAGGGAAAGTCAATATACAGTCATATGCAATTTTTGCACATCAAAAATGTTCATAGAATTTGAACGTGTTCTGTATTATAGTGAAGTAACTTTACAACACCTGTGGCTCACCTCTCCAAAGAAAGGCCTTCTACATATTATCAGAGCTGTGGAGTAATTTGCCATTATGAAAGCAGCAAATTATACGTGGACATGATTTGTTATTAAGAGGCTGAAGAGAGTTGTTTATGCATTCCTGCATACTCCTACTCACAAGTAGTGAATTGTTGTTGTTTCGTTTCTCGCTGATTTTGTTAATACCAATTTGAATTTTTTGCAGTTTGTATTTTCCCCTCTATTTTTGTGTAAATCTCATTCGGATTGAACACAGACTTGAAAGTCCAGATTTAATATTTTAGTTTTCTATTCTAAAATGCTTATGTATTTCCACTTGTTAAGTGGTCAATTCCATGCCTCTTCTTATGCTGTAACAGTGTTTGAAGACACTTTGTTTTCATGTTGGATGTTGATATTTGGGTATGATCGCTCATGAATATCCCTCATAACTCTCACATGAGACTTACTGTATTTTTATTCGCAGTAAAGAAGGAAAACTTTGTAGTGGTATTTAAATGACAATAACATTATCTGTATCTGTACTGTAGGTTGGTTAAAAGGGCAATTATATTTATCAATTTGTACCCATTAAATGTCATTTAATACTGCCATGGGGACCTAGTCAAAATTTCCAATTTCAATTTGAAAAAAGAACAAACGAATAAAAATATTTTTTAGAATATATTTTCAAATACACATCCAGTGTTGTAGAATTATTTAGTCTAAAAACTGCAAGTCTACTTATACTAACAACCTTGGAAAATGTATTTTCATTATTCTGACCAAAGTTTGCCCATCACTGAGGGATGATTGACCAGGTTATTATTCCAACAGTACTCAATTAAACCTAAACGCAGTATTTTAACCTGCTTAGTGTAACTAATTTGCAGTTATGGTTGGGGGGGGGGTTGTGTCTGCACCGCCCAGTCTGCTCATGCTCATGCAGTTTCTCATGACTTTCAAGAACTGTAACTTGTTTGTTTTTATTTTATATCTCTAAATTTGTTACTATTTAATAAAAGAATATGATTTCTTGTACCTTCCTACTCATCTTCATTTGGCCCCTTAATCCATCCATCGCATGCAATGCATTTTGTCTACCTTGACTCCAACACCTGTGTGTAAGGTTGATAAACTACGTCCTACCATATTGTCTATTCGTTTCCTGTTTCGTGGTCATGTGTTCCACAAATATGTAGGCTAACATAAATGCCAAATGCTAATGTAACCTGACAACTGTTTATTTTAATAATATTAATAATATAACTAAAGAAATATATAAATATAATTAATAATATTAATGATGGTTGTGGTGGTGGTGATGATGATGATGAGAATATTGGTAATGATGATGATAATGGTAGTAGTATAGATATAACATAAACAGACATTCA